TCAACCAAAAAGATTTTGACTGGGATGTCAAGGACATCTTGATTTCTAAACCATTGCTACCACCAGCACCCCAAACTCAAAACTGCAGAAGGATAATCTCCTCCCTCTCTTCCTCCCTCCCTCTCTCCCTCCCTCCCAGAACATGTATTGATCCAAGACTGTCTTTCCAATCTGATTGATTTTTAAAAAGAAATTACATTTGCATATATGTTAATTTATTCCTATAGCCTGCATCTTCCTCATCTGTAAAACCAAGTGAGGATTCAAGGAGTTTACAGAGGCAAAGCACTGAAAATGGTCCTGTCATAGAAAACTTGCCTGGAGAAAATTAACTTACTGCTGTTACTGTTCTTTGGTTTCATGAATCAGCCCTGACAATGCCATGAGCCTGCTCTGGGGTCTAATTCCACTCTTAGCTTACTTTTTTTATTTCCTGGCAAAGAATTCTATGCCATGAAGCTTAAAATCCTATATCCACCATCACCTGCCCGCAGCCAGGGTGACCCGCCTAGACCCCAAGTGACTCAGCAGCTGTTAAGAGTCCTTCCCTCTCCCGAAGCCCAGGCCTCACAAATTGTGGGGCAGGTGATGGGCCACAGGGAGCAGACGCTGAACAAAAAAGCTCCTTTCCACAATGAACAACTGTGATTGGAATGCTGTGCCCCAACTGTGGCCTGCCAACACTCCCTGAGAAGGGGCACAGTGAGAAGTATAGCAGCGGGGCCAGCCTCCAAAGCATGGGATCTCTCTTCTTTTGAATTTTATCTCCGTTGGATTCCACGCATAAAAAAAGAATCCACTGCAAATCAGTTAATAATGGTAACAAGGGAGTTGCTAGATCATAACTGCACTGAAATAAGTCAGTGAGACTAGGGGCCCTTTATCTCTAAACAGAGCGTAGAGATCCAATCCCAAGAAGAAACAGCAGTCCTCATAACAGGCATGGTCCAGAATGCCTTGTACAAAGGGGGAATGGCGTTTAGGATGGATGACTTCGGGTCCCAGGATCCTTAGCATTTCTCACTTATGCATCAAGGAAAGCGGCAAGTGGCCCACCTCTGAGACGCCGGGCTGTTCGGACGACGCTGCTTCCTGAGGCCACATGCTTCTTTATATCCCCATAGGGTTCACTGTACTATGGAATGTAAGGAAGTGTGTGGTTTTGGCAAGTGCATCTTCATGGTCCACGGCCCCATCCAAAGAACACGGTGACTTCTTCCTTCCTCAGCCAGGCTTTCTAACCACGGGTGTACTCTTCAACAAGCCCTCAACCTCCTTCCCTCTCTGCAGACTTCTCCCTTAATCTGGAGTTTCAGTCCAGAGTTTATTGCACCCTACCCGAGCCCCTCTGCACCAGCCTCCGGGACCCATCTCCTCATGTCTGTTCTGTGAGCAGAAACCAGCTTCCCAGAAGCTTCCCACAGAATGAGCCCTCACCTTCCAGTTCCTCTCCTGTTCATTTTGATCCTGAAATGGATGTTTTTGCCAACCAAACTGAATGGTAGTTACATGTATCAGGGGTGTGTATGTGTCTGTCTGTCTGTCTCTCTGTGTGTGTGTGAGTGTGTGTGTTTCCACTGTCAACAGAAGACAGGCACTAAGAGGCTCAGGAGACCATAGCCTTGGTAGAAGGTTCACCTCGGACTTCACATGTCCTGACCCAGCTATGCTGTTCCTTCAACTTCACAAAACCCTGTGAGCTGTTTCTGGGTGAGGCTATGTGAGGAAAGTTTCATTTAACAGTCTCAATTCCTTTGTTCTCATCCTGCCCGCTATGTTTCCAGTTCTGACTTTCAAGGACCTGAGCCCACACCAGGAAGAGGTAGACTCTAGAGGGAAACCCTGAACAACATGACACCATCATCACCTGGAACACGGGTCCTCACCCACCGTGGTGTGAGAAAAGTTCTCCCTCACTCACTGAGTCCCAGGCCCAGGATGGCATCATACTTTCCACCCCTCTGCCTCTTTATTTTAGGATAAGTGTGTGACAAATGAAAGCTAAGGCCACATTAAACTTAAAGCCTGAATTCATAAGCAGAAAACAAAAGGAAATAACAGAGTTTGAAGGTGCATGCCCAGAAGCCCAGGAGGGGTGTGTAAGAGGAACTGGGCAGAGCAGGAAAGACTCAAGAAGAGAAAAAAAAAGAGACAAATAGCAGGAGATGAGGCACCATATTCTCAGACACCAGCTCACACAACATGCTGGACAAAAGCACCCCCATTCTCCCAACTGGGCAGCAGCCACACTGGAGATATCGACACTTCCCTTCTTCAGGAACCAGGTGGTTGTCCTGCCACTTCCAAGGCCATGCCAAGCTGTACTCCTGGATAAGGGTGTGGGATGTGGGGGGGGGGGCAGGGGTGTTAGAGCTGGGGCAGCTACAGGACTGAACACATAAATTTACAGCTTTAGGTCAGTGCCCAGGGGACATTTGGTAGTGCTGACAGACTGACTGGCAATTCCTGGGTTCTAGGATATGGAGACCAGGGATGCACAATGTACAGAACTATTCCCACAGCAAAGGGATATCCAGTCCACAAGGCCAATATGTTAAGGTTGAGAAACCCTGTCTTTGAGAGTGAAATGTCTGACATTTTCTGACCTTATAGTTTCCAAAGAAGATTAGTATCCTTTATTCTATAGACTTTGGGTTTTTTTTAAATTTGTTCATTTATTTTTATTTTATGCATATGTGTGTTCAGTCTACATGTATGTAAGTGTACCACATACATGCAGTGCCTGCAAAGGCCAGAAGATGGTGTTGGATCCCCTGGAAATGGAGTTACAGATGGTTGTTAGCTGCCATGTGGGTTCTAGGAGCTGAACAGATTAGCCACTGCTCTTAACCACTAAGCTGTCTCTCAGCCCAGATCTTTATATAAAATAGGTAGAGTTCTCAAAGCTGTGCTTCTCTCTGGTGCTTGCTTGTCCTTTTCTATTCTTTCCTGCTCTAAGCATACACTCGCTTTTCCTTTCCTGGCATTTGATTTCATGTCATCTGCTGAGAAATCAGAGGTGTTTTCTATGGGTGAGTGTGTTGCTGGGGCTGAGGCTGTGTCAGAACATGAGTAGAGAAGAGGCGAGAGGTGGAAGAACCTGATGAGTTAGGCATGTGCTTTTCAGTAATGAACTCAGACCTCCACACTGTCCTCTGTCTCAATTGCCTGCCTCCTTGCTCCCCAGAATGAGCTGTGGGCAAGACAGAGGACAAGATGGTAGGCAGCATTCTCAAGACACTTGTTGGAAAGAGGAGGATGAAGATGGTAAGATTCTGAACCAGGATTCACACCAGGAAGGAGGGACTCAAGAAGGAGCTTCAGTATCACCCTGTACAGACCATTCTAGAGTCACGCCATAGTTTGTGATGTCCTGTCTTCTCAGTGCTACATCTGAGTATGTTTTTACCCAGATGCCATTTCGTCAGTACCTTGTTGAATGATTTGAAGTATGAGGTACCTTGACAAGGCCAGACAGAACTACCAAATTAGAGTCCATCAGGCAGAATCAGGTTGGCTAAGTAACTTTTAACCCTGACCAGTACTCTCATACTCCAGGGGTGAATGAAAATCCTTGTAGATGAGGGATAGGACACCCTCACCAGGCAAGCTGGAGCTGAAAGCAAAGTTCTTGAGTTCGAGAGCAGTCAGAATTGTCCCTAGGACTTTCCTACAACCCTTGCCAGTCTCCACTGTGCCTGCTATTAAACCTCACAAGAAGCAAGGAAGTTAGGCATATTCCCCCACTATGCAGGTGTACTCACTGACATTTCAAAAATGCTATTTAACTTCCTAACAGAAAAAAAAATCAGGAAAGTACCAATGGGATTTGAATCTAGATAAAAGTGCATTCAGGGTCACATACTTTGTTCTTGATGGCTTCTCTTTATCAGGAAAAGAAAATAAAGATCAGCCAGTGACCAGCCCTAGTGCAGAAGGTCAGTTTTCTCATTCGTTCAAAGTGTCCTTCCTGCCTATCTCCTTCCCCACCTGCACCAATACATTATGAAGATAGGAAGGCCACCTTTCTGGAGAGTGTCTCCCTCTTAGTCACACTTGATCCCACTTCCCTAGAAATGGGGCAAAGCCAGTGGGTATCCCTTCTAGTTCTAACTTGAGATGACTCAGAATCACCCAAAGAGCAGAGTTCAGCACAATTTTCTGAGCCCCCATTCCTATGTGTCTTGGGCTGGTAATTATTTCTTCTCCTCTGTGAGGTCAACTTGTCACATACTGGCAATAATCAATTCTTCATGATCTACAAGAACCAAAGATTTCTCAGTCTCCCTTGAGAGACTGTATGGTCAGTCCTATCCATTCTTTCAAACCAAATAACCTTGATATCTGTGGCTTGGAGAATGGATGAATAGAGTATATTCATGCAATAGAAAACTATTAAACAATGAAAATTAATGAACTACAGTTACTGCATCAATGTGCATGAACCTTACAGATATTATTCTAAGTGAAACTATCAAATCACAGAACACCACTGTATATTGAAATTTATTGTTTAAGAATATATATGTGATAAAAGTGATAAAGAAAAACATCTAAATTATAAGAAAATAAGAAACTCCATATTATAGTTACTTCATATGTCCCTCTACCTATCTTTCAAATAAATATAACATTTTGATATATACTCTTTGAATGTCTTAAATTTTAATTTTAATATAAATATGATACATTTATATGGACTATATAATGGACTATATAATCCATTTTTATGTAATTCATATGAATACATGTTAAATCTACTTTGGAAGGATGAGTAGAGGGTTCTGTTATTTTTTCCCATATTCTACAATCCATGTCATTTTTATTTCTGACATTCCTATTTGAGGAAAAGAATAAAGCCTAAGAAAGAAAATAAATCAAAATTATGCAGTGCAAAACACAGCCCATATACGGTTTTCTTCAAGTCTTGTGAGAGGTCATTTAGAACAAGGCGACTTCTTGGGCTAGACATATACTGATGCTGTTTCTCTCTGTTACAGGCTTGGACAAATGATGCTTGGACACTAGAAGGATTTCACACACTAGAGGCTGCAATCACCTCCCGGGGGAGCTGCCCCCTGCTCTGGCTGGTCAAACGGAACCAAGTCCGTCTTCCTGAGAGGTTTGGTCCCCTTCAACCAGCTACAGCAGGGCTGGCAATGCCCAGTCTTGGACACAGAAGAGAAGAGAAACCTGGGGCTGCAGTTAGTTGCTACAGCTTTCCTTATGAAAACAATTCTGATATTGTCATCATATCTCATGCCCTGGGAAGGAAGAAAAAAAGAGAAACCCTAAGTTCAAAAGAGAGTATGGGTCTCAGGCTCAGTATGCAGAATTCTCCACCTTTGCAGTTCAGCTAGAACCATTTGCATGCCTTTCACACAGTCAACAGTGCTGCTGAGGATGGAGTTCGTGCCAGCCTTAGGCCAGCCGTGAAAGAGCATGTCCCATAGCAAGCAGATCTGGTCACCAGGACACAGCAACATATGTAAGGCAATGGGCCATGAAAACACAATATAGTTCAATAGAATTTCAGGCCAGAGCATGGCTAGTCTAAGACACAATCCTTCCATTGCTCATCCAACCTACCTGTGCCATTCTATATTGTTCTCCATGCAGCCCAAGGAGTTTATTCATCAAGAATACCTGCATCTCAACTACTTGATCTATAGGAGATCTATTAATTAATATTAATAATAATTATCTATTAATATCAATCCCTACCACATATGACTTTGTGTGGAGTGAAATTAAAATATGTGGAAAGGAGTTACAAAGCTCCCGATAACTGCTACCATTATTAAGGTGAAACCTTGGCCTCCAGTTTGAATTCTGCCCCAGTCATTTATTAGCTGTGATATAAATGCAGTCATATCACCACAATTTATGCTGCAAAAATATTAGTTGCTTCATCAGTAAATGGAGACAGTGATACCTATCTTAGCATTGCTATAAAGGTTTTTAAGATAATTTTTATAAATAGCCAGCTATAAGCCCTCAAAAAACAGTTGTTTGGGGGCTAGTGTGATGGCTCAGTAGTTAAGAGTACTGGCTGCTCTTGCAGAGAACCCAGGTTTGACTCCCAGCATTCACATGGCAGCTAACAACTGTCCATAACTCTAGTTCTAGGGGATCCAACACCCTCTTCTGACCTCTGCAGGCATTACACAATATGGGTGCACTTACATACATACAAGCAATATATTCATACACATAAAAATAATAAATAAAATGTTTTTTAAAGAAATGATTGTTTTGCTGTTATGTCAGTAATACAATAGCAATGTTGTGCCCAGAGGCACCATACCTTGAAGTAGAATTAATTTTAAAGGATAAAGTTTCCAAATAAAACCTTATTACAAAGTATCCTTATATTTCAATTATTAATTCTACTGGCATGAGGCATGCATCCATCCTATATATTATTAGTCTGTGATAAATTTTCCTAAAAATTTCTTCACACACGAGACTGATACTACTGTCTTAAAGAAATCTCCTGCCTGGAAAACCTCCATTTGTGCACGCTGGTAGAGCCTCCTAGGTATGTGAAGGCTGTGGAGTTTGTATTCTAAAGGTGAGCACAGAGACTGGACAAGGTTGCTGCTGACCAGTTCCCTGCCCCTGACTCACTAGCTCTGATACTTTGGACACATTCCTTGACCATTCTGGACCTGTCTATTTCCTGAGTTAGAGTAGAATATCACTAGCATCTGCCTTATAGAGAATTCACGGGAACGAAGTGAAAATGTCGTAAAGTTCTAAAACTAGTATTGGGTTCATAACACACCCTCAAGAGTTTCTATCTTTGGCAACATTCCTAAAACTAAATCAGTATTCAATAAAATTTCCTTTAATAAATGACCGCATTCCTCATTTACTTGTAAACATAAACCATAGAATTGTGATTTATGCTATAACTATTTCTGCTTATCTCTTTAAGTACAGAACACTAGTTCAAAACAATTCAAAGCAGTTTGGCAGGTTTCTCTGTCCTCTGACTCTGTGGTATGAGGGAACTTTACTAGACCTAGATTTGTACCTGTAAGACGGTAACAGGAATGGCTGGATGTACAGTCCCGGTCCTATTGCCTGGAAGACGCATGAGAAAACAGAAAGGTTAAACTACAGGAAAACATACTTGGTATGATAAAATCTTAGATGAACTGCACAAAAGGGAGCTTTTCTGTCTGGGAGGGAAAAGTTCATGTACATAAAGATTAGACGAGTGGCGGGAGGTGTGGACACCAGGAGAATCAAGAAAGGCTTGTGTCCAAATGTGGGATTGGATGGCTAAAATGCTGGATACAACCAAACAGAACCTTATAAGTCTAGGAATACATAACACTTTAAGTTTGAAAGGAACCAATCCCCACACAGCTAGATTTGGAAGAGACAGTCATGCCTCACTTTCAGTGTGCTTTGGGGAACAACTTTACCTTTAATAGGTCAAAGGGCTTCCAGTAAGTATTGGAGAACATGGAGTAAATATTACCTTCAACATCCACCTGCCCTTGCCCTTCATTAAAATATCTTTGAGGGCTGAAAGATGGCAGTGTGCCCAGTCACACAGCCTGACTTCAAAGCCAAGATAACATACAGGCCCCTTTCAGATTCCTTAATTTTCATAAAACCAGGAAGGGAGCAAGTAGATTCTGGTTCCCATTTACTACTAGATTGATAGATAGAGACTTTCAAAAAAGCATATTTTCTGGTAACTTTGTCCAAAGGATCCACAAGATCAAACTCTACACTTTAATAAGAAATCCAACAGAATCAAAGAATCAGGCATCCTGCCCCGCACTGCCACTCATCTTGCCACAGCCCGTTTTCAGGTCAGAAATCTAGGTTAAGCCAGCCTGTGGGGCATGTGGTTTTGCTGTCACTGTGTCCCTTCATGTACATTCCTGCATAGTCATCATTCCCGTGCCACATCTTACTGGCAATGTGTAATGTCACTCTGGTTTAACATGATGACTCTGGGTCACCTCCACAGCTGGCAAGGGTTATATCTGGATAGGAAATAATTACTGCATAAAAAAAGCCAGAATGGCCCTTGCCCAGGAGAAATTGATGAGACTACTGTAGGGTGTCTACCTGTAGATGATCACAAGAACAGAAAAATTCCATCATATGCAATTCATTGAAGATTTCCTCTCTTTATCTGAGGAATCTCGCTATGTAGCTCGGGCTGACTTCAAATTCATGATCCCCCCACCACACACACACACACACACACACACACACACACACACACATGTCCACCTCCAAAGTACTGGGGTTACAGGAGTGTGCTGCCATTCCTGTAAAACGTTTTTTCTTATTTTATTTTTGTGTGTATGTGTATCATTGTGTGTATACATGATGTGTGTGTGTGCATGCTCATGTATGTGCGTGTGAGCATGTGAGTGCCACTATGAATATGTGGAGGTCAGAGGACAACCTCAGCTGCTGGGCTTCATAGACCACTTTGTCTGAACAGGGTTTCTCATCATTTACCATTGACTCCATAAGTCACACTAACTGGCCCATAGACTTGTGCGGATCTGTGTCCACCTCCCTTGTTCCCATAGGAGCACAGGGATTATAGACACATTTTATGTGAGTTTTGGCAATCCAAACCCAGGTTATCAGGCTCGTCAGACCATGGTAATTCCCAGTGTTAGTGAGGCTGCTGGACAACAGGCAACTCTCACACTGCCAGGCCAGGCGGTGACTATGATGGTCTGCTCTCTAGGTTGTAGTGCATCCATACATATCCAGCAAGGATGTCAATATATTCTCTGAAGAGAATCCTCCCTTCTTCTGTTAATCTCATGCCCCTCCCCTGCTGTGTGCATTTTTGTTGAAAATGCCCTCTGCCCTCCGTGCACCAGGTTTCCACAAGCATCTTTCCTGGCTCCTCATCACTGTCTAATATTTTAGTTCAAGCCCACCCTGGTCTACATAGCGAGTTCCAGGACAGCTGGGGCTACAGGGAGACCCTGTCTCAAAAAGACCAAAAAAAAAAAAAAAAAAAAAAACTGAGAAGGGGCTTAGTCTGTAAAATTAGGGGCTACAATCCCTTGGAGAATTAGCATGGAAAGGCACAGAACGCCACAACAGTTCCCAGTATTTCCCACCATATCAGTATGAAAGAAAAATGAGCCAGTAACATAAATAGTGAGAGAAGAGACAAATTCCCTGAAGTATTTAAATCCTGTTCTCAACTGTTCCTAACCCCCTAACCTAAGGTACTTAATACTGAGGACTTGTCCTTAGAAACAATAGTCTTGATTCCTAGAGTGTCAAATACATACCCTTTGATACTTAGGAGTTTGTATTAAGACATATCAGACATATCGTAAATCCACAGAGGCAAACTACACATGATCCTATTATTTATTTATTTATTTATTTATTATTTATTTATTTATTTTGTCTTTTTGAGACAGGGTCTCCTTGTAGCCCCAGCTGTCCTAGAACTCACTATGTAGACCAGGTTGGCCTTGAACTCACAAAAATCTGCCTGCCTCTGCCTCCCAAGTGCTGGGATTAAAGGCGTGTGCCACCACGCCCAGCGATCCAATTTATTTTTAATGTATAACATATATATTGAGGAAACTGGAATAATCAGGAATAAAGGCCAATAGTAAGCATTTCTAGACAGTGAGTTTTTGAAGGAAGATTTTTTTGAATTTTCTAAGTTTCTCCTATATTACTTGTAACAAAAAGTAAAAATTTTTAAATCTGTTTGAAATAGGGACCTGCTATGTAGCCCACAGTGGCCTTAAACTCAGTCCTCTTACCTCAGTCGTCCAAGTGTTGGGATTACCAACATACATCACTATGCATGGCTTCCAGATTTTCTTTACTTTGTAATTTAGTTTTGGTTTTTTAGAGCAGATTTCAGATAATCTAGGCTGGCCTCAAACTTTTTATGTAGTTGGTGTTGATGTTGAACTCCTGGTCTTCCTACCTCCATTTCCAAGGACTGGGATTAGAGGGATGCACCTCCAGGACTGATTTTTTTTATTATGTTTTATTTTTCTCAAAGTTGTACAAGGTTTAAATTTCTAAAGTTTATAATTTCCGTAGCCAAGTAGCATTCACATTCAAAACAACAAAAAAATGCTTAAGAAAAGAATAGGTCAATGCTGGAATTGCAGTTAGAGGTTCCCTTCGGTCAGATCTGTACATGTCTACAAGTGACTGCTCATCAACCTAGACACTCTAGAAGTCAGGACTGAGATCTGACACTGTCCACCCCTGTGCAGTG